TAGTTTCTATACTGTAAGAAATGCAATGTTCATTAGCACGCATTATTCATATACTTTTTATTACATGGAGATAACTTGAAAAACACATATCAACCAATATATTGTCGAAATCGTGTCAAATGTCTTCACATTTCATCAGTTCAAATGTTTCTGCTTTTTTATTCAGCTGAAACAGCGATAGCTGGACGCCTTTGTCCATGTAGACCCTTTTCACAATGACGTCAGCTGACTTCCACTTTTCCACAAAGGAGTGTATCTGTACTTCCGTTATACCTTTACAGCGGAGACTTCTCGGGAAAATGCAGGAAAAACTTGAAATATAAAGATGTACGTTATGAGTTAACAATAAAATGAATGTACTTACAGTCAGGTTCTTTTGCGAACGATATTCTACATCTGTTTTAGATGGTTGGCAGGCTAGCTTGCAGCAACTGTAGCAACATTATAGACTTGCTTTCAGATTTGTATGACAATGATTATGTATCCAAACAAAATATACTGTATACTTAAACCGAAATAACGAGTGAAATGGTTTTATGTCATTCCCTGGATAATTTATTTGATTTATTTCAGTTGTCGCTGTGATGATTGTAATAGTGAGTACACTGTAAATTCGCTGTGTATATTTACATGCAAGTGTAGTTGTTCTGCAATAAAGACAAACGTCATACATTTTTTAATATGGGAAAAATTACACGGACACAAGTCATATTTTTAATATTAAATATTCTCATATTAAGGCAAGTTTCACATCCATAGTTTCACATCTGAAAAGAAACTCAATATTATCCAGTTAAGAATAAAAAGGCTTTATATTGAAACAATGCAAGAAGGACCGCCGTGATATGATCGATCTTATTTTATGTTCGTAATAGGCTATATGCAATGTGATCTAAAAAAAACAGCTGACGTGCGCTCACACATCTGCTTTTAACAGTAAAAGCTTTTTATGTAAACTTAAGTACAAGCTTGTTTTGTTGAATTTTATTCTTGTACATACAGCCGCTGTATTGAGCAGTGCATAAATTATTGAATGAAAAGGCTTTCTTTTACCACATGTAAATATCTAAAACGTTTGTTTATTTGACAAATATATCTAACCAACTTCATCTGCAATAAAGACAGCAAATACTGTGCGACAGTCGCGGCAATCAGAAAGTACGACTGCTCCATTTTCAACTCTTCCCTCGACTTCAAGCGGCAAATCTCTGCGATCGGTATTCGGTAAGTTTGTTTGAAATGCCAGATGCCTCGCCTTGAATGAGGACGGGAGTAGACAGCTGCAATCATCCTCTAATCATATTTGTGGCAGATGTATAAGTGTCTGAGTGAACTCCATGCTGATAGCGATAGCACTTTACTGTGCCGACGGAAGTAAGAATACACTGCTTCGAGTCAGAACGGAAGTTGCGTGATGTCATGTGAAAAGGGTCTATTAGGGATTTCCTGGCACGTCTTAAGTTATTACTTTTATGAGTCCGTCTTGGACTTTCTGCACTAGAGCGCCCTCTGGCTTCGAGTATGAATGAAACACTGCAGGGGAGTGTTGAGCGCTCTGTGATGTTCACATCGCCTCATTCTGTATACAGATAAAACAGGAAAGGAAAAGAAAACATGTGCGGGGACTAATTAACGTGTTATTAAAAGTGTGGGGGGAAACATCCTCCGTGCATTAAAATAAAAGACAGATAGCAAGTATGTCTACGTAACCTGTTGGAATGCCTCATTGAATTATTGAAGTTTCAAACCTTTTATCTGAGACAGTGAGGATGTTAAAATAAATATGCACACCTCAAATACTGGCTAAAGTAAGCACACGTTAAGCACTGTCACCACTGTAATATCACTGTAATGTAATCAATGATATCACTGTAATTAATCACTGTAATGCCCTCTAGAAGCTTGCGTTCTGCAAGTGAACGTCGCTTTATTGTGCCGTCCCAAAGAGGCACAAAATCATGAAGACTTTTTCATTAACTGTTCCCTCCTGGTGGAATGACCTGCCCAACTCAATCCCAGCAGCTGAGTCCTTAACCATCTTCAAGAATCGGCTAAAAACACATCTCTTCCACCTTTATTTGACCCTCTAACTCTAGCACTCTCTATTCTAATTCTATTCTTAAAATAAAAAACATGCCCCTTTTAGATTTGCACTCTATTTATTTACTAACAGTTTGTTTTCTTAAAAAAAAAAAAACTAACACTAGCTTCTCTAATCTTTTTATATTCTATCGGTTTTCTTTATTTATTATACAATTAACAAAAGCAAAAAAGGCTTCTAACACTAGCTTGCTCTGTTCTTTTCCTATTCTATCTTTTTATTTTATATTATTATTATTTTTTTTTTTTTTATTATATGATTTAAAAAACCTTGCTACGTGTACAGCATTAAGCTAACTGAGACTTGTTATAGCACTTGTATATCATTGCTTTTTTTGTTGATTTTGATTGCTTTTATTGTCCTCATTTGTAAGTCGCTTTGGATAAAAGCGTCTGCTAAATGATTAAATGTAAATGTAATGCACTCTAACAGTAGTCAAATAGTTGAAACATTAAGCATTTAGCTTTGTCATTTATTTCATTATTTTTAATATTAATTCACAAGTAAAAATGTCACATTTCCACTTTATTGAGCAAACAGTGTCAATCGTCTCTTTGCGCCACCTGGTGGTGATTTCGCGAAGAGTTTCATATGTGACTGATTTATATTTGCCACTGCGGCATTGACGCGGCGGTAAGTGCAGCGGCAGGGCTGTCGCTAGTGGGGTGAAAGGTGGTGACGATTATAGGGGCCCACGGCTGAGGGGGCCCCCCCCCGGCGATCTCAACCGACTGGCTGAGGCCAGCCAAAAAGATGCTCAGGACAGCAGATGGGCCACTGGTGCGCATCGTCACGAAAGCTTATCATTTGCATGTGTTTTTAAGCCTTGCCAATTTAAACATTCAAAAGAGTTTAAAGCATTCAAACACAAGACGCGGAAAAACTCAAGTGAGTAGGCCTACTCGCGTACTGTGTTCGGTGCACACGCAGAGAGCCGTGTCTCACGGACAGCAACAACGATCCGAGCTCTCCTTCGCGTCTCCTGCACATGAACGAACAAATACAAATCGCAGTTTAAACATGCAAACAGAAAAAGATGTGAAAAAGCCCAATTCAGCACCCGCGCGCGGTGTTCTGTGCGCACGCAGAGAGACAGGTCTCAAAGCGCTTGAACACTGAAATTTGCCTCTTCTTGCTCTTGTACCGACAAATACATACAAAATTGTCAAAATACCCATCTTGGAGAGAGTATCCTCGAAAAAAACTGTCGGTTATGTCTTAATAAGAATTAATCCACAGTCAAACCAAAAATGATTCAGACACCAGATATAATTTTTGATATTTTTTTACTAGTGGGTGCAGGACACTATAGTTCATTTGAGTGCGTATAGCAAAATAAAGTAAACTATGACATATTATAACCAAAATTTCTTCATACAGTGGACTACCAGTAAAATTGATAAAAAAAATTGGACCAAAACTTATTCAGACACTTTGACCTGACCATGTTTTGCTTACGTGTTTCTTTCTTTAATTGCTAATGAGAACTTTTTACACCACAGACTGAACTAAATTAAGCATTGCTTGGTATTTGGCCAACAAAGTATTGATAGTTGTGTAAATATTGTCATTCTAAAAGTTTTCTGAATTTTTGGTTGATTGTAATCCATTACATACCTTTCTATCAAAGTTATCTCATATTATCAAGATGAATTTGTTCTGACAGTTTAACTCTGAGTTCTTGTCATATTTTATTACCATTTTCTAAACTATAGCAAATAAACTGTGATAATGTGAGAAATGTTGAAGGTGTCAGAATAAATTTTGGTTTGACTGTATATTAAATTTTTTACAGTGAAGACTATGCAGTGCTGTTTTTCATTTGATTATTCGGTTTTTGTACCTGGACACCCATAAACTTGAAAAAACGTAAACATTGTGCAAATAGCACAAATAAATAAATAGAACGAACATACAAATTAAACAATTTCAAACAGGGTCCACTGGTACAACCTGCACTGGGGCCCCGCAAACCCCAGCTACGGCCCTGCGCAGCGGTAATAGGCATTCTGGTTGACTACCTACTGTATACATAGAGTGTGTATCCTATATACTGTATATGCAAGTATGTATGTATATATGCTCAATATTCAATGAGTTGGATCAGATCAGGGCCACAAAAAATCTGATCAGGACATTCCTAGTAGTTCATATTATGTACAGCGCTGATATCTCTGATATCACCTTAACAGCCTACGAGGCTTGAAATACAGAATGTATGTTTGCCCTTACTGGTTCTTGCTCAGGATCTGTGTCTGTTGATGCAGACACATTTGGAACATCTGGAGTTGACTCGGCCAGAGACGGAGTGGGGCCTTGCTTAGGCAGTTCTGACTGCATCAGACTCTCCAGCCTCTGTACAACACCTGGTAACACTATTTGGAAGAAAGGCAAAAATTACTGACCAATCCTTTAAATAAACATAAGATACTTTAAAAATGATTTAACTGAAATATACTTTAAATACTTTATACTTTCAAATATTTTACTTAACTTTTTCTCTGAGGTCCCTGTTTTCCAACTGCAATTTTCTGCTGTCCTCTCTGAGACTCTTGCATCGATCACAGAAGGTGACAGGAGGACTGCACTAGAAAAGAACAATTTCATAAGCATATATAAGAACACTTTCTTTGCATGACAGGGAAAGTTTGTTTGTGTGTTTTTTATGTAGTCTTACATTTTGTGCTTGGCCGTGCTCATGGCTGGTGGATTTTTTTTATTTGTCTTGAAATGTGCCTTCAGAGAAATAAGTACAAAAAAGTAAAGGTAATGTTAGGATAACATTAATTGGATTTTTAAACAGAGTTAGATTACACTGAATTATATTACATTTAGAATGATAAAATTATTATAAAGATTACAATTTTAAAAACATTCTCTTTGTTCTTGCTGTTTTTCTACTACAGACATGGAATCAGAACCCACTCAAATGGCAGCCCTAGGAAGACCTCTGTTTCCTGGCATGCTGTATGACTGCCGCAAAGATTCCTTCATTCCAGGTGCTTTACCTACTTAAAAATGCTTTTTGTTTCCTTTTTTCAACTAATTTAAATTTTTCACAAAAAATTATTTTCATTAATAATTATATTAATTAAACATATTTCAACAATCACATTCTCACTAAATGGATAATAAATAGTCTGACTTGACTTCTAATTAATAAAACATCACAAATTGCTCTTTAAATGTAATGGATGAAAGAATGACGCTAGATAAAATTAACATGTGAGCAGGGTGATCATAGACCTTTTCACACATGTGCTTTTTAGCTTGGCTTCTTTAACACCCGTGGCTCTGCCGTTGCTAAGCAACCATGACCTATGCTCTCCATGACGACAGAAGTTTCAGGAAAGGATCAATGGATTTCCAGCACTGAAAATCACTTGCAGTAGCTCTGCTACTAAATTTATTTAAAAATGGGTATCTCTGTACAGCGATGATCAGCTGTTCCTCCATTTTGGCTGAGCTTTCAATGTTTCGATGGCATTTCAATGGCGTATCGATCCTGAAGAATCGATATATCAATACTGATTTGAGTAATGATTGATACTCAAATAAAAAATATCGATACTAAGGTGTTGTATTTACCAGTGACTTTGTTTATTTAACAAAAAAAAAAAAAAAAAAGATTTCGTACAATATGCATTGAATTGGATGAATAACCTATGTTAGCAAATAATTGTGTAGGATAGAACTATTTTCCTGCTCATCTGAACACATGCAAATGTTGCAAGACAGAATTAATCAATCACAGAGAGCGTTCACTCACTGCTGACAGTGCCAACAGGGCTGCGTTTCCCAAAAGAATCATAAGAAAGCATTGATGCTTTTGTGAAGCGCAGTCCAGAACAATTCTTATCAGAGGACAGAAAAACATGTATGTTTGAGTTATTTCACAATAAATGAACTGAAATTGTAGCCTACATTTGTGCAATTACATTTATTTAAATTGAACGTTAAAAGTTCATATTAATCATGTTCTATTCTGTAATGTTAGTATAAATCATACACTGTCAGAATAAAAAGGTTGCATTTTATGCGTCCAACAGCCTGTCACTGGCAGTCCCTTATGAAAATGAGCCATGGTTTTACTAAAGCAACCGTAGTTCAACTATAGTATTTGTAGATTTCCATGGTTACCACTACAGTAAAGTCAAGTCAAGTCAAGTTGAGCTTTATTGTCATTCTGCTACATGTGGAGGCATACAGTGGAACGAAATGTTGTGCCTCACAGGACCACGGTGCTACATAAATACAGACATACAACAATGAAGCAAAACAGTATAAACCTATACACAACTAACCTACTGACAGATTTCGACTATAAATATACTATATATAAATGTTTACCTAAACATATTTTAACCATTTGTAAACAAAAATATAACTTAGTAAGTTGCAATTAAGGCGTATTTAATGTTAAAATGCGTTTCAAATATAAAGTTAAGTGGATAACTACCCATTTTACTCTTAGTAATTTAATACATTTCATAATTAAAAGTATCGTATTGACGATAATGGCCTTTAAAAGTATCGGTATCGTATCGAAAACAATCCCTAGCTGTTACGGAAAGAATGAAGCTGATTGGTTGATTCTTGTCACATGACCTGCGGTGCGCTTGCGGCATTCTGAAAAGTTGAGATGTTTTCATCTTTCTACGGAGCATGTCATTCCATAAGGAATATTATTTGATTAATTTGCTACTTTTGTCAGCGCCGATAGTCATGTGGGCAGTGCGCTGACATGTGGCGCAGTTGTGCTTCGGGTGTCCTGAGATTGAATCCCGCCTTGTGGACCTTTCCCGTTCCCACCTCCCATCTCTCTCTCCCACTCACTTCCTGTCATATCTCTACTGTCCTGTCAAGAAAAAATTACAAAATATATATATATTGTTACTTTTGTTGGCAAAGTTTAGTATACATAAATATAAGTATGGTGATTATAAACCTTTAATTTTGTGATTATAAACCTTTAATTTTGAAGTCAGAAGTTGAATAATACCTAAAATTTATTTATAATCTGATAAACAAGAAAGCTGTTAAGTGTATTAATCTTTCATTTCAATGTAATTTTATGTCCTCCTTGTCTTCACCCCCTGGCTAATGTAAAATGTTGAATGTGAATGTTTCAAAAAAATAAAAATCTTGCTGCGGAGCAGACACACCTGGAAAAAACAAGCTCCTAAGGGGCGTTCATATGTTGTGCCTAAAACGTGTGGAAAACGCTACCCCCGCCGATTTCTGCTTCTTTCCAAAGCATTCGTGGCATCTGCAACTGTGACATGCACTCTCCATGATGACGCGGAAGTTTCAGCATAGGATAAATGGATTTCCAGCACTAAAAAAATCACTTGTGCTGCGTCCCAATTCGCATACTATCCGTCCTAAATAGTATTCGAAATTAGAATTAGTATGTCCCAAATCGTAGTATGTTGAAATGAGTATTCCAAAGGTACCTGGATGGTTTACTGCTTCTGGTAGAAATTCAAAGTGCAGATCCGTGCACACTCTAAAGGCTGATTTATACTTCTGTGTCGGACCTACACCGTAGCCTCCACGCTGTAGGCTACACGTCGGTTTTCTTTTATACTTCTGCGTCGACATGCAATTACAGATGCAGACCGCTAGTCTGCAGTGTCCATGGGCATGTTGCTGGTGTAACCAAAAGTATCAAGGCAAAAGCTGAAGAAGAAGCAGCTTGTCGGAGAAGCATCAGCTTTGATGGCGGCAAATAAAGATGCAAGAACAGATCATTTATTTAAAACTACAAAAAAGGAGACGACAACGGAACAGGAGAAGATGGCACTCTTTCAGTCTCCACAAGGACTTGTACCATGGCAGAACAATATTGTTTGTCACAGATAACTAAGTGATGTACAGTATAATGATATGTTGTATAATAAATAAGACACTTGTTCTTTGCTTTGTTTATTTTAAATAAGAATGTGTAATATTTAAAATATATTGAAGTGCAAAAAACACACAAAAAACTAAAATACATACGGAGGGAAGGGTTCTAGCAGACCAATTACAGCACTTGCGGTCCGCGTAGAATTGACGCGTTGTTACATTTCTAGAGAGTGCTACGCACAACCTACGACGTAGCTACGGCGTAGTTTCGACGCAGAAGTATAAATCAGCCTTAACAGCTAACACACATTAAAAGTGTTAAAAAACTACAAACATGGCAGATATGCGAGACCGACAGTCAGGTAGAGAAAGGGGTTTGCATGATAAATGATCAATATCTAACCTGTTGAAAAATTATTTATTTAATATTATCCTTGCTTTATTTCATCTGCAGCAACACTGTGAACTTTATAATGATACATTTGGTCATTAACTTTTAAATGCATCATTATGCAAACATGAGCAGATTGGGGAAGGACCGCAAGCCAGTACTCAAAATTTCGGACCGCCGTAGCGCCAACATATCACTATACTGTTAAATATGCTGGAAATGTTCAGAAAGTACTGATAAACACACAGTAACAAAAAAAGCTGTTGTCAAAAAGCAACAGATTTTAAACTAACAAAAAAAATGGTTGGGTGACAACGTAACATGTTCAAATGTTCAAGTTTTGACAAAAAACTGTTTTATAAAATGATAAACCTCACATATCAGCCTTAATTCCCCCCCCCCCCCCCCAATTTTATTTATTTATAGAAAATGATGAGTAAAAATTATACATTATAGGCATTTCAACTGCTACAGAAACCAGTTAAGATTTACAACAATTTTTTTCCCCCTGGTCTAAACAAAAACAGCAGACAGGCTGGATAAAAGTGTGAATCCACTGTCTGTCAGTAGGTGGCGCTTATGGAACAGCGGTTTCCACGGTAACCTCTATAAATGTAAATGGAGCCCCAGCACTGCACATTTTGAATTTCACCTTTGTCTGACAATCATTTCAGGTCTTGGAGTCTGATTAATTGAATCTGGTGTGTTTTATTAAAGAGAGATTGCTTTATTACATTATTAACTAATGTCCAATGAGTACATTAGCAAACATTTACAAGCATATTATCTCATATTTGTATTTAAATGACTATATATTAACTAATGTTTAATTAATCATTGTTTGTTAATAACTTACTAATTAAAGTTATTATAAAGTGTTACCAAAAGTACTTATATAGCCAATTTGAGACAATAAAATGAAGCACACAAATATTAAATTAGTTAAAAATTTTCTTACAAATACAAATCCTCATACGTAACTGTTAAAATTGTTTCTCATTTCAGGTGTTACTCTGTGGGATCAGAAATCACTGAGTAAAGATCTGGACAGTCATCCACAGCTCATGACAGATTTAAAGTTCAGTAGCTCGGACTCTCTCTCTGACAAGTCCAGTCTCCTGGATGTAAGTGCTTCCCTGAAAGCCAGCTTTTTGGGAGGGTTAGTTGAGGTGGGAGGATCTGCCAAGTACCTGCGGAACACTAAATCTTCAAACCAACAGTCCAGAGTAACAATGCATCACAGTGAAACCTCAAGATTCGAACAACTCACTATGACTCAGCTGGGCCAGTTCATCTACCCTCAGGTATTTGAGCAGAAAACTGCAACTCATGTGGTCACAGCTGTTCTGTACGGAGCTCAGGCCTTCATGGTGTTTGATCGGTCATTTGTAGAAGATGAAAACAGGCAGGAGATTGAGGGAGAACTGAATGTCATGGTCAAGAAAATCCCTGGATTTTCCATTGAGGGACAAGGAGCTGTAGAAATGAAAGATGAGGATAAGAAAAAGGCTGAGAAAATCACCTGCACATTTCATGGTGATGTCCATCTTGAGCAGAACCCTACCACGTACATAGAGGCCCTAGAGGTGTACAAGAAGCTCCCCTCTCTGCTGAGGAAGAATCCACAGAATGCAGTGCCAATAAAAGTATGGCTCTATCCTCTTTCTCTACTGGATTCAAAAGCAGCTCAGTTGGTGAGAGAAATCAGCACACAACTCATTTCCAACACTGAAGATGTAATAGAGAAGCTGGGAGAAGTAGAAAGGAGATGTAAAGACCTGTCCAGAAGACCAATGGTACATTTTTTCAGTGACATCAAAGAGAGGCTGGACTCATTTCAGGGTTCATTTAGCATTCACAAGATGGTGCTCCAGAAAGTACTGGCCAGAGTCTTGCCTGCTATTCGAGGAGGAGGGATGGAGGAAAGGTCACTGGCAGACATCCTGAAGATCCACTACCTCTCCCCTTTTAATGCTAGCATGCTTAACCAGTGGTTACATGACACAGAGTTACAACTTCACCTCTTGAGTGTTTACACCAAGACACTGAAGGGGATCCAAATTGAAGATTCAGACAGTCTCTTCAGCCTCCTTGATCCTGATATTGATGTTGTGGTGTGCTTGACCTTCACATCTCTTAAATACAAAGACCCATATCTTTCAACCTTGAATGAGTTTCTAAAATATGACCCCTTTAAAGAGTTAGATGAGGTAAACAAGTTTACCCTGACATCTTCTGTCCAAAAATCATTCAACCCTCATGATCTCACTTCAAAAATGAGAGAAAATGTATCTCACTTCAGAAGTTTTTCAGAGGCCAATAAAGATAAAAAGAGAATGCGCTTCATTATTTCTGCAATCTCTGATTCCTCCAGTCCAGGCTCCTCGATCTATCTGTATGAAAAAGGGATTCTGACAAATACACAGTTCCAGCCAGTGTCCAAGCCGCCCACACCAGTAGTGAAGAATGTTCTGGACCAAACTGTGTCCCTGAAACTGCAGAAGTCCCCGACTGGAGAAACAGTGAAGTATAGAGTAGAGTACCAGCAGATGAAAGCAGATTCTGGAGCTGAGGAACAGTGGCTTGTCATAGACACAGATGATGAAGACTTTACTCTGACTGGATTGATATCTGGAAAGCAGTACCTGATCCGCTACAGGATAGTGGGTAAAGTGGGAGTGAGTGAAGCCAGTGATTCTGTCAGCCCTCCACTCTCTTCAAGTAAGTGTCATCTGCACATTTTTATAAATACTTTCTTTTTTTAAATTTCCTCAAAACATTTGCAATATTTAAACTGTCAGTATTTAGAATTATGTTTGGGACTGTATTAAACAGGTGTAACTACCAAGCTGTCCTGTTCATACAGCAGCATATACATTATTTGAACAGCTACCACCCATTAGGTCTATGAGGTACACGGTGGGGATAGTACTTACTAACAAAGGCATAATCAAGATGACACCACTCAGCTGTGGGTGATAAGAATGAGAGAAGGTCAGGGTTTTGCTAGGTCTGTGTGCTTGCCATGCATGTATTCATTTCATCTGCTGTGGAGTCTTTCTCTGAATTGTTACTGGAATTTACTTTATTTTTGTTCCACTATTCTCACCACCACCATTTTAAAAATCGAACAGAGGCTCAACTGCCAGACACCAGTATACGTGAGTGTCCTCTCTCTGGTTCTTTCCTAGCTGACACATGTATACCAACAGGGTTCCATCCCTGTAAAAAAAATAAAAATAAAACAGCATATGCTTGTTAGGTACGTATGTTTTGAGGCATGGCAGCTGGTTTAAGCTGGTCCTTAGTTTATCATGAGCTGGTTTAAGCTGGTCCTGAGCTGGTTATGAGCTGGTCTTGAGCAGGAGCTAGTTGCTTAGGACCAGCACATGACCAG